GTGTCAGGCAGAGAAGGTGTAGATACGTGCTCCTCTGCCTTCTTCCAGGATACAGTCTGAGATGGCAAAAATAAATAAATAAATAAATAAATAAATAAATAAATAAATTCAAGCCTCAGAACTGTACACAAAGGGTGGGCCTTTGGCTTAGCAGTTGAGATAGCACTTGGAGTGCCTGCAGAACACTTTAGAGTGCCTGGACTTGAGTCCTGGCTCGGCTCCCAGTTCCAGCCTCCTTCTAATGCAGACCTGAGAGGTAGCAGGCGGTGGCTTCAGTACCTGGGTCCCTGCCACCCACAAGGCAGACATGGATGGAGTCCCTAGCTTCTGACGTCAGCATGGCCCAGCCTTGGCTGTTGCAGGCTTTTGAGGAGTGCATCACCAGTTGGAAGTATTCATTTGAGTTCTCTCTCTCTCTCTCTCTTTCTCACTGAGGGAGGTCTCAGGAGAGCGGATGGTATGAGCAAGTGTACAAACCAGATCCTTGAGAAGCAGAAGTTGTTTTGGGGGAATGTTTGAACAACTTATGGACCCAGCACAGAGAAGAAAACACTAGACCTGAGCGTGCATGCTAGATGATCTCCAATTTACATAGGATGATTTGACTTACAACCTTTTTTATGATGATACAAAAACAATACACATTCCATGGAAAGTGGACTTCAGGTATAGAATTTGGATATTTTCTTGGACTGCCCGGTCCAAATTGCGTGCTCCAGTACTCTCTCGCCTTGCTGGGAAGTGAGAGACAGGAGCCACAGCTCTGGGTCCGTCCTGTGGCCAGCAGAAGCAGCTGAGGACTGTGTAGTGTGCCATGTTGCCGAGCTGGGCTGTGTGCTAGGATAGATGTATTAATGTGGTTTGCATAACAATATTTTTAGTTTCCTATGGACTTCTCTAGCAGTAACCCCAACGTGAGAGAGAGCTGTACTGGGACGTTTCTACTGCGAGCATAGATGATGCTTCTGTCTGTCACAAGATGGGCTGTCTGTGTTGAGGTTCTGAGTTTCGATTTAGCCTTTCTCACTTGGGTCTTCTCGGTCATTTCGCTTCCAGCAGGTGGGTCAGGCGAGTGCCCTATTCAACAGAAAAGTCAACAACAGCAAGGGATAGTTGTCCTAACAGCCCACAGTGACTAGATGTGCCACAAGTGCCATATTCGGACAACTGGTGTTTGTTTCTCGGAAACAAAGCAGTATTGCTCAGAGCTAGCTTTGTGGGGACAAACCTTGTGAGCCCCCTGTTTCCTGTGCACCTGCATGGTAGGTGCACACAGCAGTTGATTATTACATTTTACTGCAATGTCTCCCGGAAGATTCAGGGAGCACTCAGTGGCCCTGAGCCGCTGCAGTGCCATCCCTGCCCCGGCCACCACATCCTCTCCGGAGTGGCACCAGGCCACATGCAGATGCCCCGGCTGGCAGTGTCCTGCCCAGACTCTCCAAATGCCACATAGGATGGTACGATTTTCTTTTTTAGATAGCAGCTGCATCTGTCTTCCGTTCCCCTCGCTTCGTGTGCACTCAGCAGTTTTCCTTTTTGCTCCAGATAAATTGCCGTTAATTTCCATGTGCTGCCTAGCCTCGCCATTTTATGGCTGATTGCCTCTGAGGAATAGGAGGAGGACGTGTGCGCGTTTGAATGTCAATAAATATAAATGGTTTGGGAGCCAGTGGGAAAAAGGCAGGGTGCTCCACTGTCCTTCAACTCCCGCGCCCCGAGTCCTTGCCTTTCAAGAGGCCCATGACCAGATCCCAAGTCAGCAAATAGCGGAGATGGAGTTTGTAGGCACATCCGGGATTTTTTTTCAACTTTGCATCGCATTTATCAGCCAACACCTGCTCTATCCCCACTGCTGCTTAGGTAGTGTGCGCATGGGTGGCAAAGTTTCTCTCAAGTTGTGTTTGATAAAGGAGGTGGTCTCAGGGTACCCGTTATGCACCATCGGAATGCACCAAATGCTTCAGAATGTCACATTGTCAAAATTTCTATATTTTGGGCTCCTAAGCTAGACAGCTCTCTTGGCTGCTAAACCCTCAAGATGTTCAGCCATTTGTTGTGGTCTAAAAACTTTCCCCTCACTGGGAGAAAATAATGATCTATTGTTTTACATCATGTTGGGGTCCCTTTCTTGGGTTTGTAAGAGCAACAGTGGGTAGAAGTCTTGAGATTCTGATAGGTAGATTGGTGCCCCAGTGGAATTTCGCCATCAGCCACTCTCCTATGAGGTGCTGGATACATTTTTAAATAAAAGCATCAACTCTATAAACCAAATTAGTTTTTCAACAGGATGGGAGATTTTAGTCTATCACCAGTACCAAGGGCCTTCAAAAATTCATGGAAAATGGAATAAAAAGATGCTTATTTTTGCTCAAAAAATTTTGAAACCTAGGCACAGTTTTCCAAGCCGAGCATTTCCCATGGACTTTTTGAAGGCTTCTTATAGGTGAAGATCAAGGGCATCAAAGAGGAGGCTAACTCACCTGCCTTGAGTGAGAGATGGTGGACATGGTGGTTTGGTATAGACGCTGTCTATGGGTTACGGTTGTAAGGGGCTGGCTTTTCCTCACAAGGAAGACATCACGGTAGCTCTGCGTGTCCTGTTGCATGGAGCTGAGATCTACTTCCTTGGCAAGGATGCCTTCCCAAAGACAAGCAGAAGGTGCTGCCGAGGGACCCCCGACATCAGTTGAAAGGGGGAAAATGCAGTTGCAGCAGGAACGGATGGCAGTCCCCCAGAGCTGGCATCGAGCACAGTAAACTGTATTTCCCAGTTGTAATAATTAACGAGCCTGGAGGGGCTTGGGGCAGGAAAATGGCAAAGAGAGCAAGGGAGTGGCAAGGTTCCCACTGCAAACACTGGCATCAGTGAACTCTTTGACTTCCTGTGCCATAAACCCATTGGCAAGAAGGCTTTGCACTGACAGCGTAATCCATTCTTTCAGTTCTTTATTTTTGAAGCAAATGCCCTCTACAATGTGCAGAGGAATGGCTGCCGTGCGTCAATGGATCTTTTTGTTGTGGGGTAATGTGTTCTCTTTGTCTTCGCCAAGTTTCTCCTGTTTTTATTGGCAAACTTGACATCCTTACATTAATCCTGCTGTTTCAGTGAGAAGGAATTTGAGATCCATCCTTCCAGAACCTGGAGCAGTAAGTTGTTAATCTGTTGGGCTCATCCTATGGGCCACAGTGCGCCCTTGAACTTGCTTGGCTTGTGTTTGCCTGGAGGCAAAACTTCTGGAAAAAAAACTAAAGACAGGGCCTTGTGGGTGACAAAGTCCCGAGATGGTGTTTGGTATCCACACCAGGTTCTTTTCTTGAGACTTGGAGAGAGAAATGCAGTGGAAATTAAGCTCCTAAGACTCTTTAGCATGGTTGTGACTGATGGTGCAGATAGATGATGGTGATTACAGCTCTGAAGGCAGAGGCACCAGCACTAGACAGACAGACACAGGTGGAAGAAGCTGCAGAGTGGGGAGGCAGCTTCCAGAACTGATCTTGAAAATGTCCTGGGCCGGCGCCGCGGCTCACTAGGCTAATCCTCTGCCTTGTGGTGCTGGCACACCGGGTTCTACTCCCGGTCGGGGTGCCGGATTCTGTCCCGGTTGCCCCTCTTCCAGGCCAGCTCTCTGCTGTGGCCCAGGAGGGCAGTGGAGGATGGCCCAAGTGCTTGGGCCTTGCACCTGCATGGGACACCAGGAGAAGCACCTGGCTCCTGCCATCGGATCAGCACGGTGTGCCGGCTGCGGCGGCCATTGAAGGGTGAACCAACGGCAAAGGAAGACCTTTCTCTCTGTCTCTCTCTCTCACTGTCCACTCTGCCTGTCAAAAAAAAAAAAAAGAAAGAAAGAAAGAAAGAAAGAAAATGTCCCGGAGGTTTCTAGCACGAATCTGTCAATTTTGTCACTCAGGAATCTGATGAAAATGATGCACCCAGAACTACGTGTACTGGAACTGTCTCTGTTCCTGATGGCTTTTTTTTTTAAAGACTTATTTATTTGGAAAGGCAGAGAGGGAAGAACACACAGAGAGAAACCTTCCATCTGCTGGTTCACCCCTCAAAATTTGGCTGCAATAGCTGGAACTGGGCCAAGCCAAAGCCAGGAACCTGTAATTCTGTCTGGGTCTCTTACAGGAGTGCAGGGGCTCAAGTATTTGGGCCTGTCTTCCGCTGCTTTCCCAGGCACATTAGCAGGGCGCTGGATCCAAGGTGGAGCAACCGGGACTCGAACTGGCACCCATATGGGACGCCTGCAACCGTGCCAGCATTGTAGGTGACGGCTTAACTCCTGCATCACAAGGCTGGCCCCTCTGCTGGGTTTTCATAAACAAGATCTGAGTGAACCTTTGTCCATGATAGATATTGTATGTTGTATGCTACATCCTGTAGGTTGTAGGCTACATCTGTAAATGTGTTATATATATGATATGTACTTAAGTTTAGACAACTCAGTATTTCATGTTAGCATTCCTGAAAGAGAAGCTAAATCCTCGTCGAGTGTTTCACCAGGAAAGCCGGCCAATTCTCCAGCAGTTGTTATTTTAGAAAAGTTGATAAAATTCAGGGACAGACCATCAGAGTTTGGGTAGATGCTGCTTGAAGAATCTAACTCCCCCCACCATAGATAAGTATCGGGAACTTCCTCAGGGGTCACTGGCATTGCACTCCCACCTCAGTGGAGCCACCACCATGCGATGTGACTATGGACGGTGCCAGATGCAGAAAACCTGTATGTTGCTTTACCGTATTTCATATATCAATGTTCAGTCGGTTTTCCGGTTAAAGCTAAGGTGCTCCATTACAAAATCCACATTATTCCCCCTGTTTGTGATTATATTTTGCTTTTTATTTTAAAACCTATTCCATGTTGTGTCTTATTTTTGATGTGTATTTATCATGTTCTTTTAAAAGTGTTTGTACCAATATGTTAATTTCCATTGTTTTTTTTTTCTTTTTATCTTTTGAGTGTGACTTATGTTTTATTTTGTGTTTCTTTTAGGTTTTGTTTTGTTTCATAAGATCCCACTGGATGGGTAGCTGAAATAAAGACAAGGCAGAGAAAGGGGCGGTGGTGCCTGTTGGTTGATGCTGCCCCTAAGCCGGACTCTCGGGACTGCTGTTGGCTTATCCGGGGACATGCTGCTTTCCTGGGGGTTTCTGTAGATGCAGGCGGTGTTTGGAGACAAGGACCACATGAAGCCTGCGTGTATTGTGCGCTGTGATGGGGGACACCAAGGCAGAGGCGCCTTCCAGGCAGCTAAGCAGCAACTCCAGAAAACATCTCAAATTAATCCTTCTTTCCTGTTCGTAGCATAGTTCAAACGCAGCATTACAATGAAATGCCATTGGCTTGTGCTTCTCTCCCGAAAGTGTGCTGTTTGACCATACTGGAAATGCATTGATTTTTTTCATGACTTCTCTGTGTGTTGAAGGTGAACTGCAAAATTAAAAAAGAAAAGAAAAGAAAATCTAAATGTAGGAACAGGTCAAAATCTACACTAAACACTCTAACCCACATGTAGCTGGTATGCCTGCATCCTTGGCTGTTGCTCTCTCATCAGCACTGAATTCAGAGGGTGTGTCTTCTCCATCTATAACTAAAAGAGTTAGGGCACACACACACACACACACACACCAGTGCTTTGGTGTTGCCACTTAAAGGTCTTTTCCCTCAGTGCCAATGAGAATCCAAATTTTCAACCTAGGTTTCAGCCTCATTCAGGGCTAATGATTGCCTTAAAGTTCACGAGACAGCAGGAAAAAAAAAAGGAGTAGAAGCCCCTGTCTGGGGCGGTTTTTGCTGTTCCACATAGTTTCAGAGTACCTGAAAGAGTGGAATATATGCATATGGTGAAATTATAACCTGTCCCTTTTTGTGTGCCCTCGGCGATCCGCCTGCTTTTTAGAAGTCTGCCCGGTGAGGTGGCCGAAGCGCCTCATGCTGTTTGCCTGATAGGATGGCAGGTTTTCTACTCTGCAGAGGCCTGCGAGCAGAATGGTCGGCCTGCTGTGAGCAGGAGAGGACCCTCTGAGGAGGGGGGGCCCCCACTGCTGAGTGTGCAGGGGCAGGAGGGCGCATCCTGCCCCCGGCACACACACACGCAGGTGGTGGGTCACACTGCTGAACCCTTCTGCACGGCTGACAGGGCAGCCTCAGGACCCCAGACTGCTGCGTCCCCTCGGAGCCGGACCCCTGCACACCTGTTCATTCACTTGGCCCTCTCGGTGGCCTTCCTGTGCTCTGTGCGGTCTGTACCAGGTAGCATCCATGTCCTGAGCGAGACCTGGCTGCCCCCACCCCACCTCAACTCCCCTTCCCCTCTCTCTTTCCCATGAGCCTCCTTCCTTCTCCCTTCCTTCCTGCAACATAAGTCCCCATCAGCCCTGACCGCTAGAATGCCCATAGTTGCCGTGGCTGAATTGGAAATGTATTGCATTTAAAAAAATTATTTTCCTTTGAAATAATTGCCCATGTACAGCAGTGCATCCTTAAGGATTCACAGAGTTTTAACTTGCCCAGCATTTGGGCAGCACTGTTTTGAATCCTATGTACCGAAGCACTCATCTGAATATACCTGGACCCATTTTGGCACCATTTGGTAGAAGAACTTCAATGATGAATAGTTCATACTGTTATCTCTGACGTTAGCCACGATGTTATTGCTCCATGTGTACGTTTCACAGGGCCCTGTGCATTATAGCTTCTGATGCGTCTCCTCCGTAGCCTTGCCACACAGAAGGGCAGTTCCTCCAAAGCATAAACACGCTGCTCATTTGCAGTTTTTTTTTCGGACTCCGTTGGCATGGCAGGGTGGCGGCTCTCCATCCATGTGATGAGGTCCCAGATAGTCTGCATGTCCAGGTACCTACTCACTGCTAATGACAGCTCCTGGCACAACCTACGTGTCCATCTTTCCCAAAGGTGTCGATTTATGAAGAGGCCAGAGAACAGCAGAAATCTTGACACCCCCCCCCCCCCCCCGGAGAGAAAAATGTGAGTCAGGCAGGTGCTCAGGATGGCAAATATTTTCCCATGTGGGCCACTGGATAAAAAAAAAAAATAGTTTTAAGCTTTCATGGTACTCCATAGAATCATTAAAAAAAAGCAACAGATTGTGTAAAGGCTATCTTATAGATTTTTCTTATACCCAAAAGGAAGGGAAAAAAAAACCCCAGCTGCATTGAGCACCTCCAAGGATTGCAAGCTAGATAACACAATTTAATATATCAAAGATCAGTTGCCGTCTCCTAGGGACTGATGAGAACAGCAGGCTCCGAGAAAATTGTTGCGGATGGCTCTTGTGTTCGCTGCCTTTTTCTTTTGTCTACGCCCAAAGACTCTGGTCAGAGACGTGGCTTCTCTTTCCTGAGCTAACAGCCATCCTCTTTCATCCTGCATTTCTTTGTGTGTGTCTCTTTAAGAAATGGGCTGCTTGGTGCTGCCTTCATGGCGCGCGTTTAGTTTTCAGCATTAGAAGAGGAAGCGGTGGCACTTTTGCTGAGAACAGATCTGTTGCTCTCCAACAGGGATCTGGCACGTGGGTGCCCCTCAAGTCCCCTGTCTGAGCAGAGGGGTCTGGGTGGAGCCAAGGCCAGCTTCTTAAGGGGGCTTCTGTGGCCCCGCCCCAGCCACCTGCACCCCATGGGATGGGTGGGTGGGGAGACGGAGGGGGCAGGTTTCCCAATCTGTGATTCTTTCAGAGATATGTGAAACCTGGATTTTTATGTGCAGTATCCCTGTTTTTGCAAAGTTGGCTCAGTTATTTTTAAAACATTATGTAGGCCAACAAAACATGTCTGTGGGCTGCCAGTTTTGTTACTTTTGTCTTGAAACACCATCATTGTTCTCTCTGCTGTCTCCTTCTGTCTCTCCTTTGCAAACTCACACTTCTTTCCCCCTGACATCTCCGTGGAGAGCTTTGTTGTTAACAAGCTACGGAACTGAATTGAGCAGCCCAGTGAACTGCAATGTGGCCATCACCTTTGCTGTTGGCCTGTGGAAGCCGAGCCCACAGTGACCCTCAGCTCTCAGCGGGCCTGGGGATTCTGCAGCCACTGCCTGTCCCCTGTCCCCTGGATGCTTCCACTTCCTTGTGGCCAGAGGCACCCCAGTGTTTCACCGGACATGGAGGGACTGTATTCCATCAGCATCTGTGTCTCCTGGCCCCCACAGGTGCCTTGAGGTTGAGAGCAGAAAAGTAGACAGGTGTCCTTAGTGTATAGTAGCAACCATTGGTTAACTGGAAGACACTTGTGTCATCTTCAAGACAAGTGGCCGAGGCAGGCTCTATATCTTGTTCACTGTCCCTCTAAAGGGAGTCCCTTGAAATCACAGAGTCTACAGCTAGACAGAACCAGCCCCTCTCTCTCCACCACCACCATCATCACAAGAGATGTCCACCCCATGACGACAGCAAAAGCACCAACAGGAGGAGTAAGGATGGTTTGCCTCTCAACAGGGAAATGGATCCCAATTGGAATCAGAGAGAATCCGTCCAGAGTGCTCATCCCCACTCTCCCAACAGGGACTGTTAGCATTCCCGGCCCGCTGAATTTGCTCAGTGGGGAAACAGGCAGGGCCAGCCCCATCCTGGAACACTGACCCCCGCGAGTTTGCTCTGACTCTAGGCTTTTCCAGCAACCTTGCATGGGCGCCCCGAGTGGCTGGGGCTTGAGGCAGGTCCTCCGGGCAGAGACCGCGCTGACTCAGCAGTCTGGGGGCACCCAGTCCCTTGTCAGATGTGAAGGCAGGCGCCTGCCTTGTCCCTCTCCTTTTCTCTGCTCTATTATTCTCTCGGCATCCCTTGCTGTTTTTTCTCTTTCTACATCCTTGGTGGATCCCAGGACAAGCCGAGAGTGGATTCCAGTTTGTTTCACTGGCTGCTTTGCCCAGTTGTAACAAACACTATGTTTCTTTTTCCTGTTGCAAACTGGCAGGAAACCCTAAGCAGAGCTGCCCCTGCTCTCCTCTGGCTTGTCTGCAAGAGTGCATGGTTTGCATGGCCACCTGCTTTGGTGCTTGCTGCCGGGAGTTCTTCCCTTGGTTTGGAAATTGCTACACTACGATAGACACTCCCTTCACCTTGCTTTGTCTAGACTTTGGATGCACAGGGCAAGCAGCTCAGAGTAGCGATTCCACATGATACAGGCTTCCACCATCTCAGCCTTAACTCCTCTCTGTCCACTCTGTGACCGTGGGGCCCGCTGGGGTTGTAAACTCAACACATCTGATGCCATGAAAAGCTGTGCAGGAGCAGCTGTTGTATTATGAAGCGTGTCCTGCTAGGTTCAGTACTAGGTTCAGTTTTGCTAGGCTCACAGCACCTGGGGAGCCCTACCGACTTGATCCAAGAGTGCCTGGGGAGGTGAAAGGCTCTCCTGGACACAGCATGGATTTAATTTGCTGTAGGTGCTGACAGATTGAATTAGGCTGACAGAACTCCCCACTCACAGAGTTACATGACAGTGGTTGTCACAGAAGGCAGCTTCCTGTGGCCAGCCCAGTTCTCCTGGTTTGGTTTTCAGAGGTAAAGGAATTTTCCCACCTTCTTCATTGGTCAGTGAGATCACTCTAAATTTAATTCTTACGTTGATGTGGCCCTGTGGCCCCGGTATGGTCTGTAGTGAGCACCCAGAATGCATTGGACCTGCCCTCAACTCCCCACCACCACAAACCCATTGACTACTTCCAGAGTCTTGGTGTTCATGCAAATTAAATAAAATATATTTGTGAGCAGTGGAGAAACAGAACAGAGTTCTTTTTTCCCCACTTGTGTTATAGGTGTGCCCTTTATGAGAGATTCCCAGGAAAGACAAATCCTTGAGCCTTACCTGCTTTGTGTCCCAATCCTTCTGCCATAATCCAGAGACAGCCTGTCACTCATTCTCGGGCCTGTTTTTTTCCCCCCTGTAGTGGCCCAGGTCTTTGAGCCATGTTTTCACATTTCCTGTAAATAATGGATAATCATTTTTTTAAAATTTTATTTTCAAGTGCTGTTATAACACTGTGGATAGACCATAAATGTACTTGCTGAATTCATTCATTTTTTTTAACAAGCCAATAAAGTTTTACAGTTCATCTCCATGTGTCTTGCATTCTCTGTGGATCCTGTTTATTTGCCCTCCCTTCCTCCAACACAACATCAACTGTGTGTCGTTGGCGGCTAAAGGTGTTGGAGAGTGTGAGAAACAGCATTGAGGGTTTCATGAGTCCCACACCCATTACAGATTCTGTCATAAATCATCCCCCAAAAGACGGCCTTCAGAAATTTCCATTATGTGTGTGAATTATTTGTTTATCGTGTATAGATTTTTGCATTTGACATATTTGCATTGGTTAAAAGGCAATCCTTTAAAAACAAGTTTAGCAGAATTAAAAACACACAAACAAAAAATACCTACTAATTCTGTGAAAAAAAAAAAAAAACCTTTTGGTATTTCAAAAACTTCAAATGACCCAGATCCTGGCAAGAATGTGCGTTTGGTGTTGTGTTCCTCGACTTCCCAGTGACTTTGTGGTCAAATAAACACAGTGACCGGGGAGAGGGAGGCAGACAAGGGCTATGGAGGTAAGACCTCATGACACTGCTGATTGCTAGCCTGGTTTGCATCCCGTTGTCCCATTCCCATGCCTGTCACACTGTCCCTTCCTAATTTCCCCTGTAGAAACAGGACTTAAGGGCAGCGTTTGTGGGAAGCCAGCTCAGAGTCAGATGAGAAGGTGTTGTACTCCAAATTGAAGACTCAGAGGTTGGAAAAGTGAACCCAGTCTGATGCAATGTTTTATCCAGCTGACGTCGCTGCCCCTCATATAAGAGGCCGGTGTTCAGTGGTGGTGACTTGGGCCTTTTCTTTCTTTCTTTCTTTCTTTTTTTTTATTTGATAGGTAGAGTTAGACAGTGAGAGAGAGACAAAGAGAAAGGTCTTCCTTCCGTTGGTTCACCCCCCAAATGGCCACTATGGCCGGCGCTGCGCCCATCTGAATCCAGGAGCCAGGTGCTTCCTCCTGGTCTCCCATGCAGGTGCAGGGCCCAAGCACTTGGGCCATCCTCCACTGCCCTCCCGGGCCACAGCAGAGAGCTGGACTGGAGGAGGAGCAACTGGGACTAGAACCCGGCGCCCATATGGGATGCCGGCACTGCAGGCGAAGGATCAACCAAGTGAGCCACCGCGCCGGCCCCCTGCGCTTTTTTTCTTAAATGTCCTTCCAAATTTGCCGAGCTGACAACGGATTTCCTCTGATATGTGGAGGTCTCAGACTGTGCAGGAATGACTCCCAACACAGCTGATAGGGTGCTGGGAAAGTTACTTCACCAAGCATTCCTCATTTGCAAAACAAGGTGATGGGAGTAGTGTTCAGCTCCCCTGGGCCCTTAAAAGATTTCAAGGAGACAACTCAGGCAAAGCTCTAACATGCTGTGTGGCAGGAGCAGGGGCAGGGTGGCGGGGAGGGCGCACTTGGCATTTCTAATAATAATCCTTTTGGGCTGGCGCCGAGGCTCACTAGGCTAATCCTCCACCTTGCAGCACCAGCACACCGGGTTCTAGTCCCGGTCGGGGCGCTGGATTCTGTCCTGGTTGCCCCTCTTCCAGGCCAGCTCTCTGCTGTGGCCCGGGAGGGCAGTGGAGGATGGCCCAAGTACTTGGGCCCTGCACCCCATGGGAGACCAGGAGAAGCACCTGGCTCCTGCCTTCGGATTAGCGCGGTGCGCCGGCCGCAGCGACCATTGGAGGGTGAACCAACGGCAAAGGAAGACCTTTCTCTCTCTCTGTCTCTCTCACTGTCCACTCTGCCTGTCAAAAAATAAAAAATAAAAAAAAAGTAATAATCCTTTCGAGGAGCTGTGGTTGGCATCACCCATGGGTACGGCTCAGCCAGTGCTCACGGGTCGCCTCACTTGCTGATGGCACAGGTGCAGATGAACGGAAGGAAACTCCGCTCCCAGAGTGCTCTGGCTGTGGCACGAGTGAAAGCCACTTAGAACTTTCCTGAGTGATGGCAAGGCTTGGCTCTCATCCCTCTGTGGTTCTTCCACGTTGAATCCACTGCAGACTTCATTTTGTACACTTAGATGCACCCCGATCTGCTGGGGTCTGTGTTGGAAGGGTTCAGTTAATTTGAACTGTGATCTGCAATATGCCAATTCTCAAAGAAATGGCAGTGACATCTTATACCAAATATGCCTGACCGCTTACATCACCACTTTATAAACTTGGAATTTCTGATCGTGTGAACAGGGACTGCACTGACTTGAATTTTTGAATTGCCCATTGCAAAATGTTTGGCGAAGAATACAACTAACAGACAGAGTGACTGAAAGATTGTTGAAGGAGACTTGTTTCCAGCTCCTCCCAGCCTTGGAAGCAGGTGCATTCAGGCAATGAGATATAAACAACCAAACTGTTTTTTCCTGATCTCTGAGGTTATTTCTGGTGCTGGAGTGACTTAGTCCACTCCTGATTGGTTGAGGTAATAAAATTTCTTCTTTAAAAACAAAAATATTTTGTAATTTGCTTTATTTATTTATTTATTTATTTTTTGCTCCATTAGCCATTTTAAACAAGTGGCATTGGTATTTTATCAGCACTTGCTTTAGGGTACCTTTACCATGGCTATCAGCTTTTCTAACACATGATAAGGTGATCTCTACTACAGGATCCAGGAGCTGGTGACAGATACTGGGCTTTGATTTCTCACTGTGTTCTGAGCTCCCAATCCTCTCACCAGCCCTTTGGAAATTTTTTTCTAAAAAACATGTAAAAGCTTAATTTAAAGTCTACATGATTCATTTAATTTCCAAATAAATTTTAATATTAAAATTCATCTAAATTTAAAGTTATTATGATTATTTTAAAAAACTTTTATAAATAAATCTTTTTAAAAGGAGGGCTGGTGCTGTGGTGTAGTGGATAAAGCCGCCTCCTCCAGTGCTGGCATCCCATATAGGTGCTGGTTTGAGTCCCGGCTACTGCACTTCTGATCCAGCTCCCTGCTAACGTACCTGGGAAAGCAGTAGAAGATGGCCCAAGTGCTTGAGCCCCTGAAACCCCGAGGGAGACTCAGAAGAAGCTTCTGACTCCGGGTTTCAGATCTGCACAGCTCCGGGCATTGTGGCTTTTTGAGAAGTGAACCAGCGGATAGAAGACCTCTCCCTCCTTCTCTCTCTCTCTCTCTCTCTCTCTCTCTCTCTCTCTCTTTCTCAGCCTCTGCCTCTCTGTAAATCAGCCTTTCAAATAAATTAAATAAATCTTTAAAAAATCTTTTTTTACTATTTATTTTATTTATTTGAAAAAGTTACAGAGAAAGATATCTTTCATCCACTGATTCACTCTTTTTTTTTTTTTTTTATTCACTCTTCAAATGGCTGCAACAGCTAGAGCTGAGCGAGGCCAAAGCCAGGAACTTCATCCGGGCCTCCGACAAGGGTGCAGGGGCCCATCCTCCTTTGCCTTCCCAGGCATATAAACAGGTAGCTGGATAGGATGTGGAGCAGCTGGGACTTGAACCCGGACCCATATGGGATGTCAGCACTGCATACGGTAGGTAGCTTTATCTGCTATTCCACAATGCCACCCCGAATTTTAATATTTAAATTAAAAAAAATATTTTGGGGCTGGCGCTGTGGCAAAGGGGGTAAAGCCACCGACTGAAGCACCAACATCCCATATGGGTGCTGGTTCGAGCCCTGGCTGCTCCACTTCCTATCCAGCTCCATGCTAATGTCTCTGGCAAAGGAGTAGAAGATGGCCCAAGTCCTTGGGCCCCTGCACCTGCGTGGGAGACCCAGAGGAAGCTCCTGGCTCCTGGCTTCAGATGGGTACAGCTCTGGTCGTTGCAGCCATTTGGGGAGTGAGTCTCTCCTATCTTCTGGTTCATTCCTCGTTGCCAGCAACAGTCAGGCTGTCCAGGCAGAAGCTGGCAGCCAAGAACTCCGGTCTCCCACGTGGGTGGCAGAGATCCACGCCCTTGAATCATCAGCTGCTGCCTCCCCTGATGCACGTTAGCAGGAAGCTGGAACTGGGAGTGGAGCTAAAACCCAGGGCCTTTGCTGAGGGATGTGAGTGACCCTAGTGGCCAAGTGCCCTCTCCCGAGACACGGAGCGTTTGAAGGACTTGCTCCAGGGTACTTTCTTAACAAGTGGCGACATTAGGACATAAGTGTAGGTAGACTGACTATGCTCTTAACAACTCCTGTGTGTGGACTGGCCTCCCAGCCTGGCTGCACCACGAGGGTGAGGTCAGCAAGTACCCTGGGTACTGTGTAACAGGAATCCATCACTCACCTGCTTGTGTGGGAGGAGCCGGCGCCACAGCACAGCAGGTGGAATTGGCTTCCTGCATAGGAGGGCCACTTTGAGTCCCAGCTGCTCCACTTCAATGCTAATGCACCTTGGAAGGCCTCAAAGAGATGGCCCAAGTGCTTGGCCCCCTTTACCCATGTGCTAGACCAGGATGGAGTTCCTGGCTTCTGGCTTTGGTGTGGCCCAGTCCTGGCCGTTGCGGCCATTTGGGGAGTAAACCAGCAGATCTCTCTGTCTCTCTTTCCCTTTGTGTTCCCCTCTCTCTATCACTCTGCCTTCCAAATAAATAAATTTTTAAAAAGATTTATTTATTTATTTGAAAGAGTTACACAGAGAAAGAAGGAGAGGCAGAGAGAGAGAGAGGTCCTCCATCTGCTGGTTTACTCCCCAATTGGCCATAACAGCCGGAGCTTGCGCTGATCCGAAGCCAGGAGCCAGGAGCTTCTTCCAGGTCTCCCATGCAGGTGCAGGGGCCCAAGGCCTTGGGCCAACTTCTACTGCTTTCCTAGGCCATAGCAGAGAGCTGGATCAGAAGTTGAGCAGCCGGGACTCGAACCAGCGCCCAAATGGAATGCCGGCACTGCAGGTGGCAGCTTTATCCGCTATGCCACTGCACCAGCCCCATAGATTCCACTCTTGGATGAGCCATCCAGAGGGAACCCACCTTGGGGCAGGTGTCAGAGTGGTGGGAAGCCATGTTGGAAGACACTTCCCGCCGCCTCCATGGACAGGCTGCAGATGTCGCAGCAAGCAGGTGCAAGGCACCGGAGGTTTCCT